CAAATGATGGGGCAGAGTCCCCGTAAACAGCGTCCAACTCGGCTTTAATTTGCGTAGACGTATTGCCTTTTAAATGCAAGAATTTAATTATAGCATGATATTCAATTTTTTCCATTTTTACAAAATGACGACACAAATGATTGTCAAACAAGAACTGAACGTCCAAAGTGGCCACAATTGTCACAGATATCTTTCGTAAGTATCACGATTATAATACCAGAATGGCTTTGACGAGTAACGCTATCTTCATGGTGAGGCTCAAAACTTTTCAGACGACCCTCGTATATATTAAAATTGTACAGTGACTGTACTTGTATACTGTTGATACCAACTTATTTGGACGTTTCGGTTTCTTTCAAATCATCTTCAGCAAAATCGTGAATCATTACCGTAGATGTATTGACAATAGTTGGAAGATGTTGAAATTATGTTCTATGTGAGACCGAGGATGAGTATCTCTCTACTGTTAATTTATTAAATTTATTGTCCTCATTTTAAGAATGTAATGTATTAAACGTTTTGCATTCCATACATTAAATTTTTCAAATTTGACTTATATGCTCTTCACTTTCTTTATATTATTAATTGATAATTTCTGAATCCTAGTAAGTTTAATACTTCAATTAAGTTTATTAAAGTGAAATAAATTTGATTTGTTTTATGCTTATTATGAAAACTGCGGTTTTTCTATTAATTTTATAATATTCTTCAAAAGAAAATAATAATCTTGTTTTGAATACATAATAGTAAGTTTTTCTAAAATTTTGTAATAAGTATATCTTAAGATTATGATCAAGAAAATATTCTTTGCTAAGATAATCATTACTTAAAAGTAAGAAAATAAATTGAGTAATCATTTTTCTTAGCAATAGATTGATATTTATCTGGGTCAGTGTTTTCGCAAAATCTTTAAATGGGAGATTTTTGGGCGTCAGTGAGTAGGTACTGATTTTTTGGGTTTATAATTATGAATTGTTAGTCTTTACTCATAATTCAAGATTGTTGATCCATCATGGTGCATGGATAAAATATAAAAATTGTATAATTAAAAAACAAATTTTGATTACTCTCTCGGCGTTTAACACAGTTGAACTATCAACATAAAAGAAAATATATTTTATAACAATCGTTCATGACTTCCAATCGGAATTTTAAGATAACTTAACTTTTTTAACAACAAAATGTCAAATATCGTTAGGAAAGCTATTTTTTAAATATTGTACCTCAAATATTTTGGAAACTTGAGCGTTAGAATTTTTTTTACTTGCAGCATCGTTTTCATCATTCAGCAAAAATCTATAAGGAACACCTCGAACTTCCAGTTCAAAGTAATTTTCGGCTATGAATTAATTAGTGTTAACTTCTTAAAAAATAATTATTCAATTTTTTTAACAAGTGATTTATATAACATATTGAAAATGGCCGTATTCGACCAAAGCATCTTGGTACTTAAGGAGATCCTAAAGTCAACTATTTTACCGATTAAACGCAATAATTTTCGTAAAGAATTTTCATATGTATTACTTTTACAGACTTGGAAATTATTTTCCATTAAAATATACGCACTAATACTAATTTGATGCGTAGATTTTTATACCAAGAACGAAAAAAATTTTTGAAATTGAATTGTTCTTTATCATTACTTACAATTAGTTCAATATGACATCTATAACTGTCAAGTTGTAATACTTGTTTGATACAAAAGTTCTGCAATCTATACTTATGAAAAAATTGGAGGTTTCAGACTACTAGGCAACACGAAGAAACAACGTGGAATTCAACTTACATACCTAATTCGATACGAAAATCTTTTACGAAAATTTAGACGTATGTGTGGGTGTGATATTGATATAGTAGTGATGTCGATGACGCGTAAATTGTACCTATATGTGTTAGTCCTATCGAATCAATTCCATCGCAGTTCGATCTTCACTTTAGGATCTCCTTAATCCTAATCGGTATTTGTAGATCCAGTGGATCTGGATACTTCAACTACATTGTGAAAAAATGTTTATAATAAGTATTTTTTAGAACTTTACATAATTTTAAGTTACATAACTCTATTTTTTGGATTTTGACTTTCAAAATAAAAAAATTGTTCAATTACGTTTAACTTTAAGCAAAGGCATATTAATTTAAAATACACTGAACAGACGAATATTAGTTTAAAGAAATTTCGAAACCAATACCGATTAGGGTTAAAAATATTTTTGCGTGAATCTTACAATTTCCAGTTCAGACTAGGGCTCTAATTTTATTCCGTTTTTCGAAGATACGTGTAAACATAAAACGTTTATCCGTTTATATTCGCTTTCAAAAAAACGTTTACTTTAAGGTAAACGTTTACACGTTTAATTAGCACGTTTAATTAGCATTATTAGTGTAAACGTGTTTTCGTTTAAACGTATAATAGTTAATTACACGTATATTCGGAAAAACGTTTCTAATAAACGGATATATTAATTATACGTGTAAACGTATTTTCGTTTAAACGTATAATAGCGAGCCCTAGTTCAGACAAACACTGCGCACTGATTATCTATCAGTATTGAAAAACAGTCTTATAACCGTGTTCTGAAGCTATGAATGAAGCTGGATTACGTAATATCATAAATTAAAAACAGTTTAATAATCTGCTGCTAATAATCATCATAATCACAGAAATGTAATGAATTTGTGGAAAATATATAAGTACATATCATTCTAAATATCTGCAATCAAGATTTAACCTTCATGACGTCCTGATCTGAATTTCTTTAAATAGCATATATCTAACCACTTTCAATCATTAAAACATGTGGTGATATTTACATAATAATAACTATAAATGTTAGGCGAAAATGCTTATTACAGAAATGACAGACTTTAAAATTTCAAAATATATATTCATTTAAAAAATTAAATAATAAATATATGTTTTTTGTATTATCCATGCTTAAAGTAGTTACTTAAAAAGAAATTTGATCGCACTAAGAATCATTAGTATAGGCTTTAATGTTCCTTTTTTAACCAGGAAATAATAAATATTTTTTCCTCTCAGGTCAAACTGTGACGTTGATATTAAACCAATTGATTAATTTTAAATCAACAGAAAAATCATACTACATTAATAGCAGATTATTTATAATTAACGCTAATAAATATTGTAACAACATTCATTTTGTAAAAATATGTTTGTCATCTATATATAATAGATGACAAACATATTTTTACAAAAATTATATAACAATGTCTTTATCCAGCTCAGCGCAATGAAAGTTAAATAAAATTTTTTATTAAAAAATTTCGTAACCATCTTGATATTAAAGAAAGAAAAAAAAACAAAAAGTAGAAGGCTTGTTACTCTTACGTCTCACGTAATTCTTCCCACGAAATCGAACATTCACTCATGAGATCTCTTGAACACCACGCACGCACATGATTCCATTTGTACTGCTTTCTCTTCAAGGATTACGAGGTCCCTGGTGCTCCTGACGAAAGAGACCGTAAGAAAGCGAATTCACGCGCGGAAACCCGGAAGAAGCCAAGTTTTTGCTACACTATTTACACAGGGGCTATGTACACACGTTCTCAGTTCTTAATACGTCTCGGTCAAGACTAGTCAGCCGACCACACAGCGAAAGTCCTTCCGGTCTTCGTTGTCATCTATAACGATTATCGTTTATCGTTCTCCATTTTTCGAAGTAGTCCATTGGCCAAGTTTAATTCTGCTGCTAGAGCGACACTATTGATTATATCTTGCCGTCAGGAAAATGCTTAATCTTTCTTAGTCGATAAAATTCTTTCAGATCGATCGTCTTGAACGGCAGATGTTGGATTAAGAATGTCTTGTATAATAATTTTTTTAATAAATAGTTTGTAAATGATTAGGTCCGTTTTAGAAAGTATCGGCGATCTCTTCTTTTTATTTTTCCAAATTCCGTTTAATTGATTCGTGAAATCTCTGTTTGACCCGCTTCAGATTCTTCAAGAATTCTTCTATAAAAGAAACGAAGAAAAAATTCGAGAAGTAATTTTGGTAATATTTGCAAGTTGATGACTAGTTCATAAGTAACTGACTTCGTTAAATTTATGTGTGTCGTTAAATCCGTGATAGCCATTATAATGAGAAAATAGTCATTATTGGAAAATTTTTACTTTTTGATCGGTACGATTTAAAAATACCTTTTTTCTCTTAATGACTTGTCACATATACATATCTATTAATTTTTGTCTTGTTAAATCCACAATCATTACAATCAAGAGAGACATGTAGCAATTATCCTTCTTGAAAACGCATCGGGATCATCCATTTTTCTGATTATCGAAATCACGACTGATGATCCGGAAAAGTCTGCGTTTCCGTCATTTCGTTCCGTCGAGTCCGCGGTAGCCATCATAGCAACTGCTCCTCGAAGATAGATCAGAGCTACGCTCTATCGGGTCACAAGATGACCAACGGTCGTCGAAAAGATTCGTTTCCCGATGCCGCTGCCATTTGGTATCCACCGTATTGACCCATCTGCGGAGCAGTCAGTAGGCCGCTAGCTTGGACTGATGCGGGATAATACGGCAAAGCGCCGGGACTCGCGGCCGATGATGTCGATGTCGAACTCGCGCTGGACGAGCCTTGCTCTGTCCTTTCGTGTTGCTTGCTTGTGTCTGGCGATTCCGCGGGCGGTGATCTTGCGGGTCCGTTTCCACCAACGACACTATTTGGGCTGGATTCCTCGTATAGCTTGTTGGGCTCGTAGCTCGGCCGATTGTATTCTCCAATAGTGGGTTTCTGATCCATGTATAGCTTCGACTGCTCGAAGTATGCCTTCGCGTCTAAGTAAGTACGGTCCAGATAAGTCTTGGGATTGGAAGAATCCAAGTACTTAGGATCTGGATACATGCTCATTGCCAGAGTGCTGGGCGGCATATAGGCAGCGCGATATTTATCAGGCTCCATAGAATACTTCATGGTCATCGGGTCCACTGGTAACTATAACAAAAACAGGGAAACGTCTGACAATCCAAATATTATTTTTAGATTCTTACATCCCGTGGTAATCAGACCGAACATATATCTAATTAATGGAAATGGATCTATCTAGAAAAATTCTCTACAAAAAATTCGTCGAACTTTCGAAGATCCTAATAAAATTTAAAGTACTCCGTTATTAGTTTGCTATTAATTCGCCGATTCTTTGCCTGCTATACGTTGACTTTCGAAAAAACGAATACTGAAAATGCGGCATCATCGCGACGAACAAAAAGAGCAAGCGACAAATTTGACAGTCAACGCATTCGATTCGGTCGGCGCGCGCAAATCGCGAAATCGGTGGATCCGCGTCGCGACCCGGGCTGAAGATTTGTTCTACGTCGAAGACAACGATGCCAATGGCCATAAATTTCGTCACGTTGGGCCAAGCACGTTTGGACCAGGCTGCCGCAAGTTGAACTGAGTTGAACTGGGACCGGCCCGAGAGACCGGTGCTTAAAAAAAGAAAGAAAAAATAAAAGAAAAAAAAGGAGAGGCGGGAAGCAACGCGCATATTCCCGATTCTATAATTCGTGGACGAAGGAAGGACCGTGGCGGGATCCTTTGTCGGATCGTTAAGCGGCTTTGTCCAGATGATTTACATCCAGTCTTAGTAATGCTAAGTCTCTCCCGCCCGCTACGACCAATTGATTACAGCTTAGCTTCTCTCGCCTCGAAAGCCTCACTCGCTGCTATCCGCGAATCGCGTCCAGAAATTAAAAAATTCCTTCTCATCGCGCGACGTTGAGATATTCGCATAGAAAGTCGGTTTGATCGCGACTTCGATTCCAATTATCACAGTCGACACATGTATTTTATTAATTGAACGTTGGATGATTATTAGATGATTAATAGAGATCCGATTGAAACAATTTTTTTTATTCTTTTTCAGACGAAATAGAAAACGAATATTTGATTATGTGTCAATTTCAATCGAAATCAAAACTAAAACTTTCATATGCGAATCTTAGAAAAGTTATATGTATATACTTCTTCTTCATAAATATTATAATGTAATTATTAAAACAATTACGCATCATCTCATTCTATTGTAATACAATTCTTTTATCACAGTGATATGTTATACACTATCCGTAATATCATAATCATATTTCAATAATTACACGCGATTTCAAAACATGAAATACAAATATTTTTTAAATAAGTCTTTGGAAAATCAAGAGAAAATATTTTACGTTAAATAAATTTTAAGTAATAGATGTTTATTACAGCTTAATCGGTTTCGACTATGTTGCTAAAACTCTGTTTTCTCTCAATTTCGACTGAATCCTAATCGAAACTTTGATTTTTAACCGAAGCCGATCATAACCTAAACGAAAACGGAATTTTCAATCGGACTTTAATAGTTAATTCAATAGCGAATTCTTGAATTTTTTAAAGTCGGCTGTGTGCTCCGGAAATTTTTTGAATTAATTTGAAATACAGAATAATGTCAATTTCTAAATTAAAAAATTTGAAATAATTCAGCACCTTTTTTCAATATGTATGATTATTCATAAGTTAAATGATCAAAATGAACATATAATTATTTACCTAAATTATTTTTTAATGTAGCTTATTAAGTTTTCTCAATTTATTCGAAATGGAGAAATTATACGACATAAATACAAAAGTTCTAAGATGTATCTTAAAAAGTGCCTACTAATCATATAGCGCTACTCTTGATAAAAAATTGAGTCGAAAATTCCTCTACCATTTTGCAATTTTCGCAACTTTTTTTAGTTACTTAATGAGCAAAATGTATAAATCGGCGATGAAGCAACTTTATGATATCTTTAACAGCTCTTTAAGAAACATTTTTAAGATATTCCATTAAAAACTTTCCATTGAAAGATATTTTAAAGTTGTCTTATGTATCTCAATTTCACCCGCTTATTTGACAGTCTTTAGAAATTAATTTCACATTAACTATTGCGAAAATTGTAAAATGATTCAAGACTTTTCGACTCGAGTTTTTTATTAGGAATAGCGCTACATGATTAGTGGGCGCTTTTTAAGATATACCCTGTATGTGTGTATAAATATAGTTGTGTATATTGTGCTATGTCTAATTTTAAATATCTGCTTACGTTTATAGTTCTACATGTATGTCATTTGTTTCTTTCGTTTGTTATAGTCGTCTTCGTTATAGCCGTGATAGTTCATTCTATGCCGTCGTTGTCAGAGACTTAATTATCCAACGCGATGTCACTGTTAAAAAGGACAATGACACCGTACACTATTCGCCTCTGTTTTGGGTCACAAAAGACTGGTATTCTCTTTTCGCGCCATGTGTCGTCGAAGTCGTGAGCGAAGGAGAATGAGCACACTTTATTTTCTAAATGGCCTCGGGGCGGTGGGAGAGCACAGAGTGCAAGAAAGTCAACTCCCTCACATTGCTCCATTGTGCCGCAGCCCTCGATATTTCAGCCGCTTCAACATTTTGTAAAAACTTGCTTCGTTCGCGAGTCTCGAAACGTGATTCTGTTAAATTGTCGGTGCACAAAAAAGATTTGTTAAAACAATTAAAAGCTTTATTGAGTCAGCAAGATAATTTTCTATGAATTTATTTTTTGGATATATATAATAGTTACCATAATCGGCGAAAAGAATCAATTTCAACATTGTGTTTACTATAATTTAACTGACACACTCCCTTTTCTTCTCATTACATGATTAGCTGTAATGTGCACCTTGAAAAAAATTCGACTTTGTTAAATCGAGTTTATTAGGTCGTTGTTAGTTGTTAGTTATAAAGTACTCTTGAAACCATTCAATTTTCATTCCAGAAATTTTTTTCTACCTCTTATAGTTTTGAAGATATTCGCTTCGAAAGAGAAAAACCGATTTTTTTCAAAGGGGTGTTTCACCCCTTAAAAGTGTGTATGGGCACGTATAAAAAATACGTGTCGCTTATTTTTGTCTGGAGAACAACATATTAAAAACTCATCAAAA